GGCCCAAGATGGCCCCAAGATGTCCCACGATGGCCCCAAGACGGCCCAAGATGCTGCCAAGACGGCCCAAGGGGCCTCCAAGAAGCCTCCCAAGAGGGCCCCACGACGCAAAATCAACGATTTCCAAAGCGCTTTTTTGAAAGTTTTTGGCCTTCTCGCCGTTTCGGCTGTCCGACACTCCGAGACGGACCAAGAGGTTCCCAAGAGGCCCTAGAAGCTCCCATGACGGCCCAAGAGGCCCCGAAGACGGCCCCAAGAAGGCCGAAGAGGGCCCCAAGACGGTCCAAGAGGCGCCCCAAACGGCCCAAAAAGGCCCTAAGACGGTCCCGAGAGAGGACCAAGAGGGAGTCCACGAATCGAAAACTCTACCTTTCCGCCTCCAGAGGGCCCCAGGAGGCCCCAAGAAGGTCTCAAGAGGCCTTAGGAGGCCCCCAAGAGGCCCCTAAGAGGCCCCAAGCAGACCCCCAAGAGACCCAAAATATGCCCCAAAAGGTTCCAAAACGGCTTCCAAGAAGCTCCAACGATGACCCGCAGGCGCTGCCGAGAAGCCTGCCACGAAAAGCACCCACGGCGCTATACACGCAGTCGCACGCACTAGTAATAGGGGGCGGGCGAAGCCCTTAAGATAATAGATGTTGAGAATGGTATTGGAAATGATAAGAAAACGTACAAGACGAAGACGAATAATAAGACGAATAATCAGAATGGCTATAAGAAGAATCATAGTCATAGCCACGATCATCATCATAATCATAAGCAGTATAATCATCATCAGCAGCATCATCGTCATCATAATCATCATCAGCAGCAGCAGTACCAGCATCAGAATCATCAGCAGCATTATCATAATCATCATCATCATCAGCAGCATCATCAGCAGCATCATCATCATCATCATCATCCTCATCATCATCATCATCATCATCATCATCATCACCATCATCATCATCATCATCATCATCATCATCATCGTCAGCATCATAAACATCATCAGCATCAGCATTATCATCATCATCCTCACAATCATCAGCTTCATCATCGTTATCCGTACCATCATCAGCAGCAGTATCAGCATCGGCATCAGCATCAGCATCAGTACCATCATCCTCATCAGCACCATCATCATTGTCATCACGATCGTCATCATCATCACTAGCAGCATCATATATCGTTATCGTCGTTACCATCGTGAGTATCATCGGCATCGCCATCACCAGCAAGATCCGCATGACCACAATCCTCAACATGATCAGCAGCAGACGCAGCACCGTCATCATCATCAATATCATCGTCGACGTCAGCATCATGGTAATCCTCATCATCATCATCAACAACATCATCATCAACAACAACACCACCATCATCAGATTACGATAATGATCCTCAACAACAGGCGAGTATGACTACTACTAATATGGTTGATATTAGTATGCCTGCTATCTCCACTTCCGTGTCTTTTCACCCTTCCCTCGATCAGTTCTCCCTATGACCGTGTCTGGGGGGCGAGCATGTGT